GAGAGACAAAAAATAAGGCAGTGAGCAATATTACTGCATAGTATGCTAGAGAAGTAAAGTAGTCAATTAATCTCCATAACCAGAGAAAGGATTTCTCTCACCAAATAAGTAGGTAGACCCCCTGGAGAAATAGCTGACTCTGAGTCTACGGCAATAAATGTAAAAACTGGGCCTAGAAGATTTTGTCATGCCTAAAAGCAATGAAGCTAACTCAGGCTGGCATTCTGTCAAAAGAACTCTAGGAGTTAATGTGAATGAGTCCCCACGGGTCAAAGATGAACAACTTGAACATCAAATAATAATAATGACAGCAGTGGATTGAAATATATGAAATATTCAAATCTACGTGCTTATAATCATATTAAAAATAAAAGTTTTTTTAAAAAAGATTTGATTCCATTTGGAAGAATTTAGGAAACCAGTTTGTCATTCTGAAAACAGGTAAATAAAGAAAAAAATAAAGTATCCTGCTTTTCCTGTTATAATTATACCTGAGGTAAACAAATATTTGAAGAGGGAAAGCTTTTTGATAACTGAACTACAGCTCACAAATGAAGACAGAATGATATAGAATATCAATTTTTAAAAGATTAGAATTAAGAATACTTATATATTCAGCTAACTTTCCTGCCTCTTTTCTGACTTAAAAAAAGCCCATAAGAATTAAAAGCTTTATGAAGCAAAAAATTAGGGATTGAAAGTTCTTGCAACTGTCTTGCAGTGGTGTCCCTTATCTGAAATGCTTGGGCAAGAAATGTTTCGGACTTTTTTTTTATTTTAGAATAATTGTATATACCTAATGGGGGCTGGGTGACCCATGTCTAAACAATTTCATTAATGTTATACACATAGCCTGAAGGTAATTGTATACATTTTGAAATAATTTTGTGCATGAAACAAAGTTTTGACTACCACCTGTAACATATCTGGTGTGGAATTTTCTACTTGTTGATGCTCATAAAATTTCAAATTTTGGCACATTTCAGATTTTGGATTTTTGGATGAGGGACACTCAACTTGTACCTTAGATGGCAACCAAAAAGCAATTAAAGCAAATAATCTCCAAGTGTAGAAATGTTAACACCTCTCCTTTAGGCTTTGGTTATGATATTTCTTGGGTTTTCATGGTTTTATTTGTTGTTCTTCCTGTTGCTGCAAATCATTTCAAGAGATCTTTCAAACTACTCTTAAGTGTACAGTAGTATTTTCCTTCCTACTCATTGTAAGAATGGAGATAGAACCAAACTATGCCATACCTTAAAACTTTCAGCCTCCCAATCCAGAGCTTCAAACAGGGTTTAAACTTACCAGCATGAACCTGGATCCTTTAAGTGGTGTTTGTGTGAATTATAGAGGAATATAGGCTCATGTGGCTCATGTCTGTAATTGCAGCACTTTGGGAGGCTAAGGCAGGCAGATCACTTGAGGTCAGGAGTTCAAGACCAACTTGGCCAACATAGTGAAACCCCATCTCTACAGAAATACAAAAAATTAGTCCAGCGTCGTGGCAAGCCCCTGAAGTCCCAGCTACTCAGGAGGTGGAAGTTGCAGTGAACCGATATTGCACCACTACTGTGCTTCAACCTGCGTGACAGAGTGAGACTCGATCTCAAAAACAAAAACAAACAAACAAAAAGATTATAGAGGAATATAGATTATAGAGGAAAAATAAAACAGACAAGTGGCAGTCAGCTTGTGTAGTCTTAACTCTGATTTTTAATTGTCTAATATTTAGAACAGGTAATTGTGAATTGTTCTTCTACCTTGCTTCCTTGATTCAGACACACCTGATTTTCATGTTTTAACATTTCTGAAATTTGCATGTGGCTTGTAATACATGTATGTATTTAATGGGGCAGTGTTCCCAGGGTTCCCTGTCATCCCTGAGAAGCTGTTTAAATTGTGTGTTTTACAATCAATTTTGTCTTCGAATCTTGGAATATGGTAATAAATAATCTTCCTGGATGATTTTTTTTTGCAAAATATGTCTTAAAAGTATTTCATAGAATGCTTTAGAGCAGAATTTTCCAAAGTATTTTTTTTTATAATATTAGTTCCTATATGTTTCTATAAAGGTGGAAGCGGGAGGCTTATAAGTTTGGAAAATGCATCTTGCTTTCAGAGCTTCATGAAAGACAAAAACACTTTAGGCTCCTAGAAAGCCCATGGTTTAAAAAACAAACAACTCTTTAAATCTCTTTAAAATTAAAGATTTCCCAAACTCATCAGACCCTCAGATCCTTTTCTGTAACACTTGCTAGCATTTTGGGAAATGCTGCTACATATAGTTGATTAATATGAGTGTTAGAACAAAACATTTTCATCAGGTTGCTTTAATTACTTGCCTGTTGCAAGTCAAAAAGATAACATGTCTATATGCAAGTGTATATCTAGTTGTCATGAGAATCACTTCAAAGGCATGGTTGACTGGACTAGGTTGTCAACCTAGTCAGCTTTGTCAGACAGGTTGTTTTTGTTTTTTAAACTGCCTTCAACTGTGCAGCAACTCTGTACTGCCCAGTCAGTAGTAGCCCTATTATTATCTCTTAGATTTGTGCATCAGCTCATTTGCTGAACTTCAGTGTAATGTGTCTGAAAACAGAATTACTGATGTAGTATATATTAGCAATATATACTACAGAATTACTGATTTAGTATATCACAGGTTGTCACCTCTGGCAATAGTTTTATTCTATAACTTGTTCTACCTATATTTCTTTTTAAAAAACAACTTCATTACCAAATTAAAGTGTAGGTATTGCTGGATCTTCATGTTGTGTTGTGCTCCTGTATTTATTATAGGCTATTCATAGTGAATCTCTCGGGGAGCCATCTCCTAGAAATTTATTTACCATAAGAGAGATAAATCTGTCTCTTCTGTCTTTTGCCTGGGAAAGGAGAAAGTTAGGTGATTCCTACAAATAGAGATGAATCCTAATGTCTTAAAGTAAGAAACGTCTTTGCACAGGAATAATGGGAGCTACAAAATACTAAGCAGGCATGTTCCTCAACGTCTTCAGTAAAATGCTTTCTGTACCAGATGACTCTGCTGAGTATACAGGTTTTTAAATTGAGAAGCAGATAATCCTTACTGCCCTCAAAGAGTTTAATCTAATTGGTGAGACAACAGTTTCTGTAATTGATAAATATTCATCTTACTCAGATTGAGCTTTGGTGAAGGAATTAGAAAATCTGAGCCTGGAGACTAAGTAGCACATGGTCATGCAGGCAAGAGGATTAAAAACATTGCTTACAGAAGGGACAGCCTGTGTAAAAAGCATGGGGCTGTGAAAGGTAAAGTGCTTGGAGATTGCAGGTAGCTTGGCTTAGGATATCTGTGGTAACAGGATAGAGAATGAGGTCAGACAAGAATGAAGGAGGCCGTGGTTATTGTGCTAGGCAGATTTTAGAAGATTGCCAGTAGATGGTTCTGTTTTTTATCGTTGTTTGTTTTTCTTTTTGAGACAGGGTCTTGCCCAGGCTGGAGTGCTGTAGCATGATCATGAGTCATTGCAACCTTGAACTCCTGGGCTCAAGCCATCCCCCAACCTCAGCCCCCAAGTAGCTGGGTACAGGTGTGCACCACCCCCACCCAGCTAATTTTTAATTTTTTTTTTGTAGACACAGGGTCTTCCTATGTTGCCCAAGCTGCATTCAAGTGATCCTCCCACCTCAGTCTCCCAAAGCACAGGGATTACAGGTGTGAGCCACTGTGCCCTGCCAAATTGATGGTGCTTGATCTGTGTTAGCACTTTTTATATAATCAATTAGTAATGAAAATCAGTATTGAATACATGGTGTTAAATTCCTTAATTTTAACGTGCATTTTGAGATGACAATTGTATTACTTCATGTTTATAATATCTTGATGATTCATGAGCATGACCAGTTAGTAAGTTACCCCCAAATGCATTAGCCCTGTTCTTTTTTTTTTCTCTTGGTACGGAATCTTGCTCTGTCATCCAGGCTGGAGTACACTGGCATGATCTCAGCTTACTGCAACTTCTATGTCCCAGGTTCAAGCAATTCTGCCTGCCTCAGCCTCCTGAGTAGCTGGAATTACAGGCACCCACCACCACACCCAGCTAATTTTTTTTTTTTTCTGGGACAGAATCTCGCTCTGTTGCCCAGGCTGGAGTAGGCTGGAGTACAGTGACATGATCTTGTCTCACAGCAACCTCCGCCTCCCCGGCTTAAGTGATTCTCCCACCTTAGCCTTTCGAGTAGCTGGGATTACAGGCACCCACCACCATGCCCAGCTAATTTTTGTATTTTTAATAGAGACAGGGTTTCACCATGTTGGTCAGGCTGGTTTCAAACTCCTGAACTCAGATGATCTGCCCACCTCAGCCTTCCCAAGTGCTAGAATTAGAGGTGTGAGCCACCATGCCTTGCCTAATTTTTGCATTTTAAGTAGAGAGGTTCTGCCATGTTGTCAAGGGTGGTCTCCAACTCCTGACCCCAGGTGATCTGCCTGACTTGGCATACCAAAATGTTGGGATTACAGGCATGAGCAACCATGCCCGGCCTAAGTTTTTTATTTTTAGTAGAGGGGTTTTAGTTTTGTTGGCCAGGCTGGTCTCGAACTCCTGACCTCAGGTGATCCACCCACCTCAACCTCCTAAAGTACTGGAATTACAAGTGTGAACCACCATGCCTGGCCATCATTAGCTCTATTATTAAAATTCAGTTTTGTCCAAGTATAATTTACTTATAATACCAATTTTACTTGTACAGTTCAGTGACTTTTAACACATATATACTACAGTCTTATAACCACCACTCCTCTAATCATTATGTAGTGTATTTTCATCGGTCTGTATTAGTCTTTAATCAGAGCTTAGTGAAATAAATAATTCTTTGAATTCTGGAAAATATAATATTTCACTAATAATGTATTAGTGAAATAAATAATTATTTGAATCCTGGAAAATTAGAGGTATGAAGTTTTATATTTTTAAACAATTATTATATCCATGTTATTTGTTTGTTTCAACCAGTTACCCATGGGTGTATCGTTTCCACAATAAAACTTTTTCTACCGGATGGTATGGAAGCCCGGCTCCGCTCAGAGTGAGTATAATTTAGTACTGTGAAGTTTTTGGATTAATTCCTTGGCTAATAATATTCTAGATGACGGCATACTGCTAATACATGCTTCAGGATTATTTAAGTAATGTTAGAAAATTCATTAGTACTTTTTGGAATATAATACCCTCAAGTTTAAATTGTTTTAGTTGCAATTCTAGTAAATAATAATGTATCAGAGGCAAAAGATTATTTTGTTTCCAAATTTAATTTATATTTTGACAAATTGTTTTTTACAATGTTTCAAGTCTATAAGTTAGTGATAGCTTCATTTCTTTTATTTTCGTTTACTATAGGAGTTCTTAAACTGTGATCACTTCTGGTATTAATGCCAGTGTCACAATCTCACAATCTTATAAGACCTTGAGGATATAAATATAGTTAGCAGCTTATTTTGGTGGGAGTTTGTTGAAGATTTTTTCCAATGTCGTGTTTATTTTTTGTATGAAGCAGTGTAAAAATCATTTAGAGGCAGATACTTGAAAGGGAAAAATTAACCATAAAATCTAAATTTTAAAAGCATACATAAGTACATTTTGATCTTGGGCTTTTTAGAGATTATTAATATGAAGGGTTGAAGGGAGTTGAGCAATCTTTAAACTTCAACATTTTTTATTTGTGGGGAAAGACTTGAATATGGTAGAAGCTTATTTTTATGCCCAACATAATATTTTCCTGTCTTTTAAAAACAGAGGCAATGATCAGAGGGTAGGAGGTTAAGAGAAGTAATAAATTGAAGGGAAAGTAGAGCATTGAATAGGAAATCGAGAAGGAAAGATTAAGCAGAGAGAGGTCCTCCCATTACTGTGTTAGTCTGTGCCTTCATTAGAATCATTTATTTTATGCTTGCTAGAAGCCCCTTACTTTCGTTTGTTTGTTTACTTTTAAGGGTATCTGAAGCAAAATGGCAGAGATTTTAAAACATTTTAATTCATTTTTCTTTTTCCTTTTTTTCGGTACTTGACATATGAAGTAATATTTTAAATTTAAAACGTTAATCTATTTTCTATTTTCAACTACAGCTTAATTATTAAAATTAAACCTTAGGACAATTAATATAACTTAGCTTTTAAGATCAAGAGTTCAGGTTTTATAAGTGAGTAACTTAATCAACTAATGATATATTGCCTCTTAAAGACTTTGATGTTTGTATTTGATAATGAGATTTTTCTTCCATGAAGTTGAAAACTTTGAACAGTTACATAAGGAATCATCTGTGTTCCTCAGGTTCCATCTAGTAGAACTTGTGAATTTTTTCAAAGTTGGTTGCAATGTATTATGTCTCTATCCTTCTTGTTTATCTAATTCTTTTCATCTTTGCCCATTTCCTTCTCATTGTTTGGCTTTTCTTGTATGGTTAAATATTAGTATCACTTAAGTTTTTGCTGCTAATTTAGTTGTACATAATCTTAACTTTCTGGAGAAAATGAATTTTGAACAAGCAATTATCCAGTGATAGAAGAAGATCAGAATGGCCTTTGCAAGTGGGTAGTCCAGTTTAAAGCCTGACTCCACTTGTTCTGTTACTTGATCAGGCCACATTTTTCTTATTTGAAATATGGAAATGATAGTACCTATTGAATAGTAATTTTATAAGAATTAAACAAGATTTAGTACTTAAAGAAGTTGACATATAATAAGCATACGATAAACATCAGCTGTTTATCACTGTAAACTAATTTTTAAAAGCAATTAAGACGCTTTTGGGTGTGCCAGAAAGCCTAGAGTTTAAGGTCCATTATGTATATAGCATTTAGTGCTTTTAAGAACTTTAGAAGGTGGTACTCAACAAATTAATATCTTTTTCTTTCTTTTTTTTTTTTTGAAGGAAAATTTGTATTGTTTTAATTACTTTTATGTACAGAAAACTCAACAGTGTATATTTAACTCAGTTTCGTGGCAAGTTCTTTAGCCTTTGCCTTTTTGAGCTTGACGATGTGAGCCACGGACTTGGGACCCAGGACATTGCCTCCCCAGTGACGGCAGATCTCATTATATCTGTCATTGTAATTGGTGCAGATAGCTTCCACCAGCTTAGCCGAAGCACCTTTGTCTTCTGAGTTAACCTGTGTGAAGGCGACAGTGGTGCAGGTCTTCCTGTGGACTAGACGTCCCAGTCTTGCCTTCCCCTTGATAATGCAGTAAGGGACTCCCATTTTACAACACAGGGCCGGCAAGAAGACAGCCAGGTCAATGGGATCCACGTTGTGTGCAGTCACCACCAGCTGAGCTTTCTTGTTCTCCAACAAGGTGGTGACGGTGTTAACTCCTGCTTGAAGGACAGCTGGTCTCTTAATGGGGATGTCCCCTTTGCCAGCCGCTTTCTTCTCAGCCCGGGCCAACAGCCTCTGCTTCTTCTCTTGCCTTGTCTCTGGTCTATACTTGTGGGCCAGCTTAAGCAGCTGAATAGTTGTTTGGTGGTCCAGGGCCTGGGTGAACTGGTTAATTGCAGGAGGCACTTTCAGCCGCTTATAGAGGATGGCTCTCTGCTGCTGCAACCTGATATAGCGGGGCCATTTCACAAAGCAGGTGAGGTCTCTTTTGGGCTGGGTGTCCTGTCCAATGCCAAAATTCTTAGGTGTTTTCTCAAACAGGGGATTCACTACTTTCTTAGCCTCCTGCTTCTTCACGGCAGCAGGGGCCGGAGCCACCTTCTTCCCCTTGGCCTTCTTTCCTTTCGGCATCTTGGGTAGCAGGAAAAGAGAGCTTTTCTTTTTCTTTTTAGACAAAGTTTCACTCTTGTTGCCCAGGCCAGACTGCAGTGGCACTATCTCAGCTCACCATAACCTCTGCCTCCCAGGTTCAAGTGATTCTCCTGCCTCAGCCTCCTGAGTAGTTGGGATTATAGGCACATGCTGAAACACCTGGCTAATTTTGTACTTCTAGTAGAGATGGGGTTTCTCCATGTTGGTCAGACTGGTCTCAAACTCCTGACCTCAGGTGATCCACCCATCTTGGCCTCCCAAAGTGCTGGGATTACAGGCATGAACCACCATGGTCAGCACTCTTCCTTGATTTTTATTACATTACACAAATTGTTTTTCTTTTTGAAGACAGTCTAGTTCTGTTGCCCAGGTTGGAGTGCAGTGCTGCAATCTCGGCTCACTGCAACTCCCACCACCCGGGTTCAAGCAATTCTCGTGCCTCAGCCTCCCGAGCAGCTGGAACTATAGGTGCACACCACCATGCCCGGCTAATTTTTGTACTTTTAGTAGATATGGGGTTTCACCATGTTGCCCATGCTAGTCTCAAACTCCTGAGCTCAGGCAGTCAGCCCACCTTAGCATCCCAAAGTGCTAGGATTACAGGCCTGAGTCACTGTGCCTGGCCAATAATTTTTTAATGATTAGAAACAGACACAGTGGCTCACACCAGTGATCCCATCACTTTGGGAGACCGAGGTGGGTGGATCACCAGGCCAGGAGAGCAAGACCATCCTGGCCAACATAGTGAAACCCCATCTCTACTAAAAGTACAAAAATTAGCTGAGTGTGGTGGTGTGTGCCTGTAATCCCAGCTCCTCAGGGGTCTGAGGCCAGAGAATCGCTTGAACCCAGAAGGCAGAGGTTGCAGTGAGCTGAGATTGCACCACTGGCCTTCAGCCTGGCAACAGAGCAAGACTCCATCTCAAAAAAAGAAAGACAGACAGACAGAAAGGCAGGGGGAGGGGGGCAGCAAATAACTCTTTTCTTTTCTTTTCGACAGTCTTGCTTTCGTCACCCAGGCTGGAGTGCAGTGGCATGATTTTAGCCTCCACCTCCCAGGTTTTAGTGATTCTTCTAGCTCAATCTCCCAAGTATTTGGGATTACAGGGAGGCACCACCACGCCCAGCTAATTTTTTTTTTTTTTTTGAGACAGAGTTTTACTTTCATTACCCAGGCTGGAGTGCAATGGCACGATCTCCGCTCACTGCAACCTCTGCCTCCCAGGTTCAAGTGATTCTCCTACCTAAGCCTCCCAAGTAGCTGGGATTACAGGCATGAGCCACCACGCTCTACTAATTTTGTATTTTTAGTAGAGATGGGGTTTTTCCATGTTGGCCAAGCTGGTCTTGAACTCCTTACCTCAGGTGATCCTCCTCAGCCTCCCAAAGTGCTTAGATTACAGGCGTGAGCCGCTGTGCCTGGCCTAATAATTTTCTATTGATTAGAAACAGAGAAGCCTGGCACAGGTGGCTTGTGCCTGTAATCCCAGCACTTTGGGACTCCGAGGCAGACAGATTGCCTGAGTTCAGGAGTTTGAGACCAGCCTGGGCAACAGGGCTAAAACCCATCTCTACTAAAAATACAAAAAATTAGCCAGACATGATGGTGAAAGCCTGTAGTCCCACCTACTCTGGAGGCTGAGGCACAAGAACATCTTGAACCTGGGAGTCAGAGACTGCAGTGAGCTGAAATCAGACCACTTCACTCCAGCCTGGGTGACAGAGTGAGACTGTCTCCAAAATAAAAAATTTTATAAAAAGAAACAGAGAAATTGCATATAATCCCACTACTGTAACACTAAATAACTATTTTCATTTTTCACATTTCTTTGTTACGGCTTTTATATGCACATGAACTTTTTTCATACCAAAATATACCTATATCCAGGGTGCTTTTTTTTTTTTTTTTTTTTTTGTAGACGGAGTTTTGCTCCTTACCCAGGCTGGAGTGCAATGGCGTGATCTCGGCTCACTGCCACCTCCGCCTCCTGGGTTCAGGCAATTCTCCTGCCTCAGCCTCCCACATAGCTGGATTTACAGGCACGCACCACCATGCCCAGCTAACTTTTTGTAGTTTTAGTAGAGACGGAGTTTCACCATGTTGACCAGGATGGTCTCGATCTCTTGACGTTGTGATCCACCCGCCTCGGCCTCCCAAAGTGCTGGGATTACAGGCGTGAGCCACCGCGCCCGGCCCCAGGGTGCTTTTTATAAAATACAAATGTATATCACTTATGGAATGTGTTGCTGGATTTTTAGCCCTTCGTTTATTAATTAGATTGTTAGGAGAACAGAAGATTTTATACTTGGGTCACTAAGAAAGGTGAATTTTTACCAAAAAAAAAAAAAAAAATCTCTGTTATACCATTTGTTTCTATTTAGATTTTTTTTTTTTGGAGATGGAGTCTTGCTGTGTTGCCCAGGCTGGAGTGCAGTGGTGGAATCTTGGCTCACTGCAACCTCTGCCTCCCAGGTTCAAGCAATTCTGCTGCCTCAGCCTTCCGAGTAGCTGGGATTACAGGTGCCCGCCACCACACCTGGCTAATTTTTGTATTTCTAGTAGAAATAGGTTTCACCATGTTTGCCAGGCTGGTGTCGAACTCCTAACCTCCCACATTTAGACATTCTTAAGTTCATTTCACTGTATTTGTGTATCTGCAGAGAAAAGAATATATCATTGTAACTCTACAATGGTTATTTCTGAGTGTTGGCATTGAGTAATTTTTATTTCCTCATGATTTACTTCACACATTTTCCATAATCAATAATTATTATAGTAAAAAATAAATTCTTGTTTAAAATGCCTATTTCAATTTTCTGGAGTAGAGAAGGAAAACTAAAGTTGTATGTAATTAAAAAATCTTTACTAGCCACCAACTTTGTTAGGACCTTGGGATGGGCTTTGGGGATATGGAGGTGAATAGGTCATAGTTTCTGAGAACACAGATGTATAATCAAAAAGAACAGTAAAGTGTATATAGACTTAATGAAGTCTGTATCATGGGTGCTCAGAAGGGAGGTGGGTGTTGGTATTTAATATTCCATTTTATTCAGCATTTTAGTGTATTTGTGACTATTTGAATTAGACCAGTTCTTACAGTGTTTGCAGTTATTAGGGTGGAATCAAAATTATTCCTATTTTTAACACACATCTGACCAGTTTTTCAGCAGCTTACACATGATTAATCCATTCAATTTAAGAACTTTACCCAGTCAGCCTTCAAGCTAGCCATTGCAAGAGTGGCCTCTAGAATGCGGAGTGGTTAGCTGCTAATGAGGTCATGTGTAGTAGCCTTGCTTTGAGTACCCTGTACTCACCCCCAACACACATAATGGTATCTTACAGGGCCTTGTAAAACAGGGACTCTGGCTTCCTTACCTGCTATATTCTCATGAGAGTAATAGTAGTGATCAAGTCCCATGTCCAAAGCACTATTTTAAGCTCTTTATTCATATCAACACATTTAATACTCCCAATAACTCCATGGAATTTGTTGTATGATTACCTCCCATTTTATGCATGAGGAAGCTGAGACCTATATTGATTAGCAATTTGCCTTTCAGCTGGTGAGTAGAGCTGGAATTTGGACCCAGTATAGTTTCTGAGCTGTTATACTACCTTTTTGTCGGCAGTAGTTAATCAGGCCAACAAGACAACTAGTACCAATTAAAGATATCTATTTAATGTTTTAAAGTGTTATACTGAGTTCAGTTTCATACATACATCTAAGTTTTCAGTTAGTTTCTGAGGTGGCTCGGTGGAGACGAGGAGTAGTAGTGTTTTGATTCAAGTTGTTCTTCACTGGTACAAGTTTCTAACCTTGCTTTCCAGAACTTTGCTTTTTAAGACTTTCTATATAGGAATGTTTAATTTTAAAATAATGTAGTTTACATATTTCAAAATTGAAAATGGATTTTTTTTTTTTTGAGACAGAGTCTCTCACTTGATTGCCTAGGCTAGAGTGCAGTGGCATGATCTTGGCTCACTGCAACCTCCACCTCCCAGGTTCAAGTGATTCTCATGCTTCAGCCTCCGAAGGAACTGGGACTAAAGGCCTGTGCCACCACACCCACCTAATGTTTTTGTATTTTTAGTAGAAACAGAGTTTCATTGTGTTGGTCAGGCTCGTCGCAAACAGCTGACCTCAGGTGCAGGTGATCCTCCCGCCTCAGCCTCCCTAAGTGCTGGTATTACAGGCATGAGCCACTGCACCTATCCAAAAATGGATAGAGTACTCCTTTTCTGTATAGAAATTCTTATAATCAGGTAATTCATCACAGCCCTCAAAAAGTAGTGCGTCTTCAAAGAGCATTTAGTACATTTTGGATTTGGAATTTGTTTTTAGAAATATATTGATGTCTAAAAGATAAGTTTATATATTTATTTTTGTTTTCTAAGAATTGTATACATTTATGAAGGATTGAAAAATAGTTCACATTCTTTTAATTATATGAAGGCAAATGTATAAACTTTGTGGTGTAAGATATTCTGGTACTCTCATACTCTGTTTCCTCTATTGTCCGGATATTAGATAAAACTTCTAAATTTTACTTTTCAGTGTCATCCATGCACCATTACCAAGTCCTGTTGACAAAGTAAGTTGCTAATGATTATTTTTTCCAAACTGACTCAGCTATGTTGCTTTGAAAATGTTTGTTTTTAGTATCCTTTACCTAGAAATTTATTTCTCTTGTATAACAAAATATGTAGAATGCATATAGCTATATAGTTATTATAATCTGATCTTCGATATCTGGAGAATCTAGGATAGATGTTTCTTCAGGAAGAAACCTTTGTTATCTCAATTAAATTGTTCACTATGTAAACTAGGAATACCTGTTTTGTATCTAGCCAAGGATAAGGAGTATTCACTGTAACTTTTTATTCTGAGATACAGTTCGTCTAGAAATTTGTTAAAGCTTTCTACTTAAAGAGTTCACTCAACATTTATCAATACAGAGAAGTAGTACAGAAACACAGGCTTAGAAAAATTGTTCTTTTATTGTCTTTGAAGGTTACTTTTTACCCGATCTGATCAGAAACTTTGCAATAATTGTTTGCTAGAAAACATTTTTCTTTTGTTCAGAAATAATGGTGTATTCAATTATAGATATCATTGCTAATTAGCCCTCCAAAATACGTCTTTTGACATTAATGTGGGAGTGGAGTTTTCTTAGTGCAGTAACTAAATTAGTGGAAAAAATACTATTTTACGTTTTTCTTCCATTCGAATGAATAATGAAAGCCTGCTTGAAACTAAAGTTCTCTGTTAGATTCCTTTTTCAGAAGTACAAGTGGTTAATCATAACTTCTGCAATATTGAAGTATTATCCAGAAGTAAATAATGATCCTGCTGATTTAGAACTAACTTTAAAAAATAATGCCAACTCTCTGCCTTCTAGTTAGCATACTAATCAAAGTATACCTACAGAGCTTAATAAGGACTGATGCTATAACATCATTAATAAGCTAACACATAAGGGTAAATATTACAGCAACCCAGTACTCCTTCCTTCTTCTCCTCCTCCTCCTTCTCCTCTCCCCCTTCTCCTCCTCCTCTTTCTTTTTTCCTCCTCTTTTTCCTGTCTTGTTCTTTTCTCCTCCTCCTTCTTCTCTTCTTCTTCCTGCTTCTTTTCCCTCTTTTCCTCCTCCTCTTCTCTTTCCTCTTCCTCTTTCCTTCTTCCTTCTTCATCCTTCCTTCTTCCTCCCTCCTTATACTTCTTCCTTTTTTCTTCCTCCCTCCTCCTCCTACTTCTTCCTTTCTTCTTCCCCCCTCCTCCTACTTCTTCCTTATTTCTTCTTCCTTCCTTCTTTCCTTCTTCCTTCCTCCTCCTCCTCCTTATTCCTCTTCCTCCTCCTCCTTTTTTTTTTTTTTGAGATGGAGTTTTACTCTTGCTGCCCAGGCTGGAGTACAATGGCACAATCTCAGTTTACTGCAGTCTCCATCTCCCAGGTTCAAGTGATTCTCTTGCCTCAGCTTCCCAAGTAGCTGGGATTACATGCATGTGCCACCACGCCAGACTAATTTTGTATTTTTAGTAGAGGCGGGGTTTTTTCATGTTGGTCAGGCTGGTCTCAAACTCCCGACCTGAGGTGATCCCCCGCTACCTCGGCCTCCCAAAGTGCTGGGATTATAGATGTGAGCCACTGCATCCAGCCCTTCTTTTTTTGTTTTTGAATAATGCTGTGGTTCTATATTCCATAGCCTTGAATATAGATATTCTTCATAATACTCTTGAGTTCTAAATAGTTTGACTATGATGGATAGTGTTTAAACACCATTACTTCCCATCTTTTTTCTTAAAACCTACCTATGGATTTAAAGAAACATTACTTCAGGCTATTGGACAAATTGTTACATTTCATGTCCTTGCCCTTCCTACACCACATACAAGTAATTTTGAAGATGGCTACTTCTAAATGAATGAGGCTTTGTTAAAATATCAAAGAACTATTTAATGATGCATTTTAAAGGGAAAATATGTGGATCTATTGATTTAGGAGGTTTTATTTCTAGTTTAAGAAAAGGCTGTATTTCCATCAGAAAAGGAAAAAAAAGTAAAAGGCTATATTGCCTTTGCACTATAAATTTGTGATTTGGTTTATCAAATATTTTCATGTGTAGCTCTTGTTCCACCACCCTGCTTATAAATTTCAAGCTGATCAGCATAGTGTAATACCATTTACAAATTCTGGACATCAGGCAGAAATATTTTAAAAACCAGGGAAACTGGTTAATTTTTTAAATAGTTATTTTGTATATGTAAGTAAGTAGACATTTCAAGGAATTAGTTTGTCTTAATGTTTTTTATGAAGTGTTTTCTGTTGATACTTTGTCATTTGTTTCTAGGTTGCTGCTAACACTCCAAGTATGTACTCTCAGGAACTATTCCAGCTTTCTCAGTATCTACAGGTAAAACTGAATCTTGAGAATTCTTAAAAATAGAATTTCTTTTAAATTTTTTGAAGTTCTTAAACGCAGTTAGGGCCAGGTATGGTGGCTAATGCCTATAATCCTGGCACTTTGAGAGGCCAAGGCAGAAGGATTGTTTGAGGCTAGGAGTTTGAGACCAACCTCGGCAATAAAGTGAGAACTTGTTTCTACAAAAAAATTTTAAAACTAACCAGGTGTGATGGTGTGCATCTGGAGTCCCAGCTACTCAAGAGGCTGAGGCAAGATCGCTTGAACCCTGAGGGTCGAGGCTGCAGTGAACTGTTATGGCACCACAGCACTCCATCCTAGGCAACAGAGCAAGACCCTGTCTCAAGAAAAGAAGGGCAGAATTAAACAACTGATATTTTATTTTGCCAATTCACAAATATAGGATATTTTTAAATGAACTGGATACAAATACAAAAGAAATACTATCTTTTCAAAAAAGAATAAAGGATTAAAAATAGATTGTATGAAAAAAGGTAAAAGGGTTAAATCTAGAAAATCTAAGCCTTTATGGGTTAAATCTAGAAAAGATAAGCCTTTGTACGAGAGGAATTTTTTTCTTCAAGTATGAGGGGATTCCAAAACAGTTTTTTTTTTTTTAATTTATTTTTAAATTGTTTTGGGGACAGAGTCTTATTCTGTCTCCCAGGCTGAAGTGCAGTGGCATGATCAGAACTCACTACAGCCTCGAACTCCTGGGCCCAAGTCTTTCTTCTGCCTCAGCCTCCTCCCAAAGCACTGGGATTATAGGTGTGAGCTGCCACACCAAGCCTCAAAACAATTACTTATCCATAGATGACTTTTATTTTATTTTATTTTATTTTATTTTATTTTATTTTTTGAGACAGAGTCTCACTCTGTAGCCCAAGCTGGAGTACAGTGGCACGATCTCAGCTTACTGCAACCTCTGCCTCCTGGGCTCAAGCGATTCTTCCCCCTCAGCCTCCTGAGTAGCTGGGACTACAGGCGTCCACTACCATGCCCGGCTAATTTTTTGTATTTTACTAGAGATGGGGTTTTACCGTGTTGCCCAGGGTTGTCTTGAACTCCTGAGCTCAGGTGATTTGCCCACCTTGGCCTCCCAAAGTGTTGGGATCACAGCATGAGCCACACCTGGCCCATAGATAACTTTTAAATAAAATTAAAACTGGAAGAGATTTTGATTGCTTAATAATATCAATAGCAAGTAATTATATACCACGTATTATATGTCAAGCTTCATTCTAGCAATTTGCCTATATTATTTAATTCTCACAACAATCTTACAAGGTACATATTTTATCCCTGTTTTTACCAATAGAGTAACTGAGAGTCAGGAAGATTTAATAATTTATATAATATCACACATCAAGTATATAGTAGAGCTTGGATTTGAACCTGGACAGCCAAAACTCAGATTTTCAGCTTATTTTTTCTTTTGAGACGGAGTTTCCCTCTTGTTGCCCAGACTGGAGTGCAATGGCACGATCTCGGCTCACCACAACATCGGCCTCCCAGGTCCAAGTGATTCTCCTACCTCAGCCTCCCAAGTAGCTGGGATCACAGGCATGTGCCACCACACCCAGTTAATTTTTTGTATTTTTAGTAGAGATGGGGTTTCTCTATTTTGGTCAGGCTGGTCTTGAACTCCTGATCTGAGGTGATCCGCCCACCTTGGCCTTCCCAAGTGCTGGGATTACAGGCACAAACCACTGTACTCTGCCACATTTCCTGCTCTTAACCACTGTGCTGTGCTGCTGGGTTCACAGAAAAATTTCTTGAAGTATGTAGAGCACATACTTCTTCAAGTAAATACTGCGTTTAAAGAGCTGTATAATCTCTAAAAAGCAAGCGTTTTTGGGGTTTTGTTGTTGTTTGCTTTTTGTAGGTTTGGGCTAGATTATGTTTCTTATTCTGGTGAGGGAGCATGGTTAAGAAAAACCCTGGATTAGGAGATTAGAAATTGAGGTCTTTTTTTTTTTTTTTGAAATGGAGTCTGTCACCCACACTGGAGTGCAGTGGTGGAATCTTGGCTCATTGCAACCTCCATCTTCTGGGTTCAAGCAATTCTCCTGCCCCAGCCTCCCAAGTAGCTGTGATTAAAAGCATGAATCACCACACCTAGCTAATTTTTTGTATTTTTAGTAGAGTGGAGTAGATTTTTAGGTTTCACCATGTTGGCCAGTCTGGTCTCAAACTCCTGACCTAAAGTGATCCACCTACTTCGGCCTCCTAGAGTGCTGGGATTTACAGAGGTGAGCCACTGAACTAGGCAAGATTGAGGTCTTTATTTTAGTTCTGCTACTTAATCCACTTTTGTGACCTTGAGTGAGTCATTTTATGTGGATTGGCCTTCAGTTGTCTTTTGTTTCAAATAATAGAACTAAACCCATGATTCTGCGCCCCTACATTCTTTTATAGGAATCAGTCAGTGAGAATAGTTTCATCTTTGTTAAGAATGTACACATCCATGAAAATGAACAGAAAGTTATCAATGTATTAATCAGATCTTACATTCCGCCATGTATAATGTATAGATAGAAAATCATTACACATTTGGATTTTAATAGAGTATTAAAGAATATTCTAAGCCAAAATTCCCTTGATTTAATCCTTGGCTTTAATTTCTGACCTGCTGGGAAAGTTGTTTAACTCTTTTGTGCCTTGTTTTCCTCATCTATGAAATGAATATAGTAATAGTCCTTAACATCACAGAATTGTGAAGAATTTAAAAAATTAGTATATATAAAGCACTCAGAACAGTTCCTGGCACATAGCATGTTTGCCATAAATGATAGTAGTTGTTTTCCATTCAATAGGAAGACACATTAATTAAGCTGCTTACTTAAAGAGGTGGAAGAAAACTTTGAGATTAATGTAGTCTAAACCTCATTTTTTAAAATGAGAACTGTGGGGCTCATATACTTTAAATGGTTTGCCCAAGGTTGTGTACTACTGTTACTAGTCATCGTGGTAGCAAATCCCACTCTCTCACTCTCCACTCTTTCCAACCTTCTTGTTAGTTCTGTGAATATTCCTAGTGTCCTAATCCTCTACTGTTCCTTTTCTAGCTCTTTGAGAGAAAATTATACCACAGTCTTCTCTGTATACATCCTTATTGAACTGCCAAAGTTCTGATGTAAATTGTAAACATTTTGAATAAAAACTGGAATAGATGCATTTCATACCCTAGAACTAACTAAAAGACCATTCCTGGATGTGTTAGATTTCCATTAGGATATAGTTCATGGAGTTAAACTCTAAATGGAACTGAATTAAAAAGGTGAAATTACTCCATCTAGTGGAATTAGATTCTAGAGATATGATGGGTTGATGGTTTTTTCTTTTCTTTTTTTTTTTTTGTTTTTGTTTTGGTTTTCAGTAAAACTTTTTGCAGCAACTGAGTAATTTCCTAGATATTAAGAATGTCTTAGGAACTTAAACTTGTCAAATAGTCTAAGTGAAGCTGCGTTTTAATATGGATTCCAAGATGGTGTGGCTTTTTATTGGATTCTTTAACATATAGCTTTAGAGTGACATTAAAATGTAGTATCTCTAACTCTAGATAGACAAGATTTTCCATGGACATTATTTATCAAGGATGTGGGGAGCAATAAATTCATGCTTTAAACCTCAAGTACTATGTTTGAAGCATATACTTTTCTGTTGAGATGTCTCATAGGCATTAGGGTCATAAGTGTTCCTCTGGATAATGACAGAAATAGAACAAGGTGAAGAAGGTATGCCAAAACCACAGCTAAGTGCTGTGAGCATTTCACCTTGATTCCCAGTGAAGGAGAGCCTCTTAACAGCTATCAACTGTTAACAAGCCACCTAAAGTTTAGACTTTCTACATCAGTGTCTTTTTCTGTAAAATATATCTTTGGAGGTGCCAAATAGTTATTTAAGTCTCCCATTATAAATCCCTTAATTACATTGAACCAGTATTCAGTGGACTCTTACCTATTTTTGGCATATTAATTGCTGCTAAATTATGGGCTGTTAGAACACCTGAAAATGCAATAGGCTGTGTGTGCGAGTGAAGCAGTCTCTCTTTTTAAATGTATATATTGGCTGGGCAAAGTGGCTCTTGCCTGTAATCCCGACACTTTGGGAGGCTGAGTCAGGTAGATCATGAGACCAGGAGTTCAAGACCAGCCTGGCCAACATGGCAAAAGCTCATCTCCACAAAAAATACAAAAATTAGCTGGGCGTGGTGGTACGTACCTGTAGTCCCAATTACTCAGGAGGCTGAGGCATGAGAATTGCTTGACCCTGGGAGGTGAAGGTTGCAGTGACCCAAGATCACACCACTACACTCCAACCTGGGCTGCAGAGTGATACAGATAAAATAAAACAAAAACGTATACATTTATATAAATAACATTTTTTAAAGGAAAAATTAAAAGCTATTGCTGTTTTAGATATCATACTTGTGCAGTTAAGCCATTATAAAGTATCTTTGCTGATGACCAGGTTGTCTTGGCTTCACTGGTATGAGTTTGTTCTGAGATATATATATTTCACATATATGTGTATGTGTGTATATATACACATGTATGCATATATATACAATTATGCGTCACTTAAAAACAAGTATATGATCTCATTAGGTGATTTTGTTACTGTGTGAACATTACAGATTGTACTTACATAACCTAGATGGTATAGGTTATTACTCGCCTAGGCTATATATTGTAGCCTGTTGCTTCTAGGCTACAAAACCATATAGCATGTTACTGTGCTACATACTGAAGGCAGTTGTAACACAATAATAGTATTTGTGTATAGAAACATATCTAAACATAGAAAAGGTACAGTAAAAATACAGTATGAAAGATAGAAAAAGGTCAGATGCAATGTAATCCTAGCACTTTGGGTGGCTGAGGCAGGAGAAACACTTGAGGCTAGGAGTTCAAGACCAACCTGGCCAACATGGCAAAACCCTGTCTCTACTAAAAATACAAAAATTAACTGGGCATGAGTGGCACACAGCTGTAGTCCCAGCTACTCAGGAGCCAGAGGTTGCAATGAACCAAGATCGCACCACTGCAGTCCAGCCTGGTTGAGAGCGGGACTCTGTCTCAAAAACAAAGAAAAGAAAAAGATAGAAAATGATATACCTGTACAAGGCTTACCGTAAATAGAGCTCGCAGGGCTGGAAGCTGCTCTGGATGAGTCAGTGAGTGAGTAAGTGAATGTGAAGGCCTAAGACATTACTGTACACTACTGTAGACTTTATAAACACTGTACACTTAGGGTACTTTAAATATATTTAAAAAGTGTTTCAGGTAGGTGTGGTGGTGGTTCATGCTCAAAATTCCAGCACTTTGGAAGGCTGAGGTGGGATGATTACTAGAGACTAGGAGTTCAAGATCATCCTGGGCAACATAAGAAGGCCCCATCTGTAAGAAAATAAATAAATAAGATAATAATAATAAAATTAGCTGAGGGCTGGGCACAGTGGCTCACACCTGTATTACCAGCACTTTGGGAGGCCAAGGTGGGCAGATCACTTGAGGTCAGAAGTTCGAGACAAGCCTGGCCAACATGGTGAAACTCCGTCTCTACTAAAAATACAAAAATGAGCTGGGGGTGGTGGCACTGCCAGTAGTCCCAGCTACTCAGGAGGCAGAGATGAGAGAAATGCTTGAACCTGGGAGATGGAGATTGCAGTGAGCCAAGATTGCTCCATTGCACTCCAGCCTGGGTGACAGAGCGAGACTCTGTCTCAGAAAAAAATAAAATTATCTGGGCATAGTGGTGTGTACCTGCAGTCCTAGATATTCAGGGGGCGGAGGCAGGAGGGATCACAAGCTCTAGAGTCTGAGATTACAGTGAACCATTGGCATGCAACTGCACTCCAGCCTGGGTGACAGAGCTACACTCTTGTCTCAGAAAAAGAAAAAAAAAAAGTTTTCCTTTCTTCAATAATAAGGTAAACTTAGCTTACTATAACCTTTGTACTCTATAAACTTTTAAGTTTTAAAAACTCTTTGACTCTTATATTCACACTTAGCTTAAAATAAACACATGGTACAGCTGTTCTGAAGTATTTTGTTTCTATTTTTAATTTATAAAAGCTTTTTATTATTAAAAATTTTTAAACTTGTTTTTACTTTTTAAACTTTTTTGTTACAAATGAAGACATAAATACACACATTAGTCTAGGCCTACACAGTATCAAGATCCATCAGTATCACTGTCTTCCACCTCCACATCCTATCCCACTAAAAGGTGTTCAGGGGCAGTAAGACACATGGAGCTGTCATCTTCTATGATAATAGTATCTTCTTCTGGATACCTCCTGAAGGACCTCTCTCAAGGTATTCTACAGTTAGCCTTTTTTTCTTTTTAATATGCAGAAGGAATATACTCTATCATGAACAATAAAAACTATAGTACATGCATAAACTAATAGCAGTCATATATTACTATTATCAAGTATTATATATATAATTATATGTGCTGTACTTTTATATAACTGACAGCACAGTAGGTTTGTTTATACGAACATCTCAAACACATGAGTAGTGCTGCCTTGTGTTACAATGCTAGGATGGCTATGATGTCATTTAGTGATAGGAATTTTTCAGCTTCATTCTAATTTTATGGGACCACTGTGTATATGCAGTCTATAGTTGACTGAAATGTTGTGTTGTGGTACATGACTATGTATAGGTATATGTCTATACACACACAGTGTGTGTGTGTGTGTGTCAAATGCAAGCCTGAATTTTGTTAGCTTTTTCTGTTGTAGGTTTTTTTAAAACTTGCTCTTCCAAATTATGAATAAAAAGAAAACAATAACAGATGACTTGTCTTCTGTTATGGGGGAAGTTGCAGTTAGAGAACCTCTAATAGCAGTACTTTCAGCCCAGCAAATGAGACTAAAATGATGTGGCCCATAAACATACAGTAGTCATTTCCTATCTGCAGGGGATATGTTCCATGACCCCCAATAGATGCCTGAAATCACAGATAGTACCAAACGCTATATCTACTATATTTTTTCCTATATTTACATATACCTATAGGTTTAGCTTATAAATTAAGCATAGTAAGAAATTACCAGTAATAAAATAGAACAATTATACCAGCATACTGTTATGTGAATAAAAGTTATGTGAATGTCAACATTCTGTCTGTCTTTCTCAAAATATCTTGTACTGCGCTCTAACTGAAGCTGTGGAAGGGAAAACCAGAGATAAGTGGGGACTGTTGTATATTTTACAAAGTACTATCAAGTTTCACATACTTCAAAATACATCAAGTAGGATGTAATATGAAAATATTTTAGAATGTGTTGAATATTGATTACTTCTCAAAAGAATCATGATGAGTTTATCAGAATCTTTTTTGTGATTTATAATATTAGGAGGCCTTACATCGGGAACAAATGTTGGAACAGAAGTTAGCCACACTTCAGCGGCTGCTAGCTATCACCCAAGAGGCTTCAGATACCAGTTGGCAGGTATTCCAGTTGTTTTATATATAAGAAATATTTAAACATAGTTTAATATTTTATACATGTTAAATAAACTAAAATGTTGTAGCAAACGAAAGCAAAGTTAATTTCTAACTAATGAACAAGTGTTGAAAATTTAGCATTTTACAGTAGACGCTGGTCAGTTTTATGCTTTTATATCTTTTGTGTTCAGTAGCAACCTTTTTTTATATACGTGTTATTTTGTGATTACTCGGGTTTTACTTACATTTAATTTTTCTTCAATAGGCTTTAATAGATGAAGATAGACTCTTATCACGGTTAGAAGTTATGGGAAACCAATTACAGGCATGCTCCAAAGTAGGTATTAATCTCAAATATATAAAATAAAATGCATAGTTTTTTATGTAACATCATTTCTTTAACTATCATTTTGAGTATATGGTAAAAATTTTATATATTTCCACAATTCTTTCAAATCTTTTATCATGAGAAATGGCAGACATCCATGTAAATAGAAATAATTATGTAATGAATACCCATATACAAGTCATGTACAAGTCTTTTTTCTATTGCAATTAATATTTCTTGAAAAAACTGCATGATTTATCCTCTAGAATTTCCCTAAGTCTGCATTGTTATTTAAACATTCTTTTAGCTCTCCCCACCAGTCCATAAATTAGTAATTCGATCTAGTGATTTGATCTGATTTAGGTTCAATTTTTTTTTTTGTCAACAGCACTTTATGGATGGTATTGTGTTCTTCCACCAAGAGACAACGTAATGTCTAGTTGTCTTTCTTTTTGAGATTTTATCAATCATTGACAACCCCTGCCTAGATTCATTATTTCATCAAGGTTACAAAAATAGTATTATTCCTTCACTTATTTAGCTAGATTACTTCTATAAAGAGAAGTTTCCTTCCAGACACAGTGGCTCATGCCTATAATCCCCTCACTTTGGGAGGCAGAGGCAGGTGGATCACTTGAGGTCAAGAGTTCAAAACCAGCTTGGCCAACATGGTGAAACCCTGTCTCTACTAAAAATACAAAAATTAGCCAGATGTGGTGGCATGTGCCTGTAATCCCAGCTACTCAGGAGGCTGAGACAGGAGCATCGCTTGAACCCTGGGAATGGAGGTTGCAGTGAGCCAAGATTGCACCACTGCACTCCAGCCTGGGCAACAGTCTTTGAGATTCTGTCTCAAAGAAAAAACTCTGGGGGGCAGTGTGAGACCAGTATGGGCAACATGGCAAAACCCAGTCTCTACCAAAAATTAAAGATGCTTAGGAGGGTGCTGCACCCCTATAATCCTAGCTACTGGGGAGGCTTAGGGGGATCACTTGAGCCCAGGAGTTTGTGATTACAGTGAGTTATGATTGCAGAACTGCACTCCAGCCTTGTCTCTAAAGAAAAAAGGAAAACAATGGCCATTATTCTAAGTAACTCTGGCATCAAAAGCCAAATACCACATGTGGTCATTTATAAGTGGAAGCTAAGCTATAGGTATGCAAAGACATACAGAGTAGTATAATGGACATTGGAGACTCAGAAGTTGGGAAAGTAGGAGGGGAGTAAGGGATGAAAAACTACCTATTGAATATAGGTATATTCAATACTAAAATCTCAGACATCACCACTATATAATTCACCCATGTAACCAAAAACCACTTTTATCCCTAAAGCTACTGAAATAAAAAAATTTAAATAAAATGAGAAGTTTCCCCATATCAACCATGTGGTGACCCAGAGGTATGTTTTCTATGGAGAAAGCGAGATAAGTGATTTTCTCCCTTTTTTACTAGATTTAAAAATAATGAATTGGTTCTTTTTCATTTCCCAAAGACTGGGCATGAATGTTTTCTCCCTCCACTTAGATTTAAACATATTTGATGTATTTAAATCTGATGTCGTTGTTTTTCTTGTTTTAGAGATAGGGTCTTGCTGTGTTTTCCAGGCTGGTCTTGAACTCCTGGGCTCATGCAGTCCTCCCATCTTGGCCTCCCAAAGTGCTGGGATTACAGATGTGAGCCACTGCGGCCAGCCTATTTTTCTAGTTGATGTTCAAATTATCCCATCTTTGGTCTATGTAAATGCCTTCAGATTGGTTCCTGAGTCCTTTTGATAGACAGAACCTTAGCCAACTTTGATAGCTTCCTGCTGTCATTTCAGAAAAGATGTTTCAGTCTAATTTTGTACATTTTCTGCCCCAGACATGAAGTCTGCTTTTCCGCCATGGTACTCATATTCCTTTTGTTTTAACCATTGTTTTAAAATGCTCGGTGCCCTTGAAGGTAATTGATTATTTTTGCCCACAAATATAAATATGGTGGCTTATAGAAAATAGGACAAATATAAGAGTAATTATTTTTGTATATTTAGAGAGATTCTCAATTGCCTTTAACTTTTTTTCTCTAGGAAGTGGAAATTAATATGTTTGTGAAGGCATAATTTACTTATACAACTTTTAAATACATCTTTAGTTAATACAGGGCCAGCATCATTTGTGTTTGGAGGTACCTTAATATACAATTTAAAGTGCATCATGTGTTAATTTTTTTCAACACTAAATGCTTTTAAAAAATAACTTGTCTATAATTATAAATATCTTTTATTCTAGAATCAAACAGAAGATAGTTTACGAAAGGAACTTATAGCATTACAAGAGGATAAACATAACTATGAGACAACAGCCAAAGAGTCCCTGAGGCGGGTTCTTCAGGAGAAAATTGAAGTGGTTAGAAAACTTTCAGAAGTTGAGGTATTTCAATTAAAAAAAATACTAAATAGTATTGCGCGTGTTTAAAAAAGTCTCAAACATTCCAGGACACTTTAAACTTGGGTATTATTAGATAGTTAGGAAATATTTTCTGTCTGTCAGATGGGAAGGAACAGTTATGCTGCTTTCATTGACAGGAATTCTCCACATAACCATGTAAATTTTGGTACCTATGCTCCCTAGTCAATGGCTGAGGAAATAAAAGCATAACCAGGGAATCTTATTGTTTGCATTCTGCTTAGGATTCACCCTCCATGCAGCAGACCATGATAGGTGCCAGGGAATTGATTTTCTGTCACTTGGTTTTGCTTTGCTTCTATTTGAGGGTGGTCACTGTAAGGCCAAGCACCTACACTACTTGTTCTTTTTCAATTCACCCTCAAGAGAGGAAAGCTGTGTCTTATATTTAGGAAGTTCAAAGGGGAAATGATCTCCAAGGTCCTTTCTAGGTCTTTAAGGAACAATCAAAATGCAATTTCCATTGCTTTGGGGGGAAAAAACTCTAATTCATAATATATATCACTTTGAACCACTGCAGAATTACCACAGAAATAATGTACTACTGGAATTAGTTAAAATGCTCATCAGAAACTAAATGGTAAACATACCTTTCCATATTACAGGTATAGTTTGTATTGCTACCCCATCCCACAGTGCCTGATTCACTGTCAACTGTCATGTGATTAATTTGATATCTCAAGAAAGAAATGCTAGTTGTCTTTTAATTTTTTTATTAAATTAGTTGCTGTATATTATTAAACTTGCTTTCAAGGATTGATAGGCTTAAAATAGTTTCACTGTTAAAAGCCATACCCATTGACCTTTCAAAAACGTAATTATAGGCTGGGCGTGACGGCTCACGCCTGTAATCCCAGCACTTTGGGAGGCTGAGGTGGGAGGATCACCTAAGGTTGGGAGTTCAACACCAGCCTGACCAACATGAAGACACACTGACTCTACTAAAAATACAAAATTAGCCAGGCGTGTTAGTGCATGCCTGTAATCAATCCCAGCTACTCAGGAGGCTGAGGCAGGAGAATCGTTTGAACCTGGGAGGTGGGGGTTGTGGTGAGCTGAGATCGTGCCATTGCACTATAGCCTGGACAGCAAGAGCGAAACTCCATCTCAAAAAAAAGTGATTATATAAAGGCAGCAAGCATCCTTTTCCTGCCCCTGCTCTCCCTCCACTTTTCTTTTTTTTTTGTTGTTAATTCTTAGTTATGTTTTCTGTTTTAGTGTATACCTGAAGTAAATTGACATTCTTACATCATTTAACTCAGTTTTATATAAAGTCCAGTGCAGATGTTGATTTAAAATTTAAAAATTTTAAAAGTCCATATAATTATACTTTTTAAAAATTGAATTGAGGAGGAATTCTAAAAAACAAATGTACATTTATTCTAATTAAATCACCTGTAAACTTGAATTGCAGCGAAGTCTGAGTAATACTGAAGATGAATGTACCCATCTGAAAGAAATGAATGAAAGGACTCAGGAAGAATTAAGAGAATTAGCCAATAAGTATAATGGAGCAGTTAATGAGATTAAAGATTTATCTGATAAATTAAAGGTATGTATTTACTCTGCCTGAAAGTATGTTAAGCTAATAATCCCTAACACACTGGATAGCTTAAGATTTTAGATGTTGCTGAATAGTTATTGATGTGAAAATTAGCTAACAGTTAAAATTCATAGCGAAAATAAGGTGTCTATATTCCATTTAGCCCAACCTCCATTATTATAGATAAACGAAAGTCTATAAATGCTGACATAGTTCCTCTGGATGCATATGTCGCTAGTGCTTCACAATAGACATCTTTTAATATTTAAGAGGAAGTAGATGAGAATCGGCAAAACTCATGATACTCAGATGTTTTAAAACCTAAAACTGTTTATCTTTAGGCCATCAAAAAGGCAGGGCCCCCTATTTAGTGCTGTACTAGAACCAGCCCGGAGAGAATCTGGGAATGATCTGCTCCCTTTTAGCTTTCAGGGATGCTGTTAACTCTGCTTTACTGCCATTCCCTCTATCTATGAGACATTTAGGATAAGGATAGATCAGATCATAGGGTAATGATAGGGTAATGTCTGGTTGGTCCTTTGAAATATTACAACTGAGGGAAAAAAAAAAAATCTTATAACTTTTTCTGAAGATCCTTCTTGATTTAATTCAAACCATGGATTGAGTGCCTAGAAGATATGTGTTTGTTAAGAAGACCAGAGCACACCCCCGTTGGGTAACCTATGATAGTTTTAAAGGTTGGTCTTATTAAAAGGAGATTGTCATAGTCCATTTGTGTTGCTATAAAGGAATAGCTGAGGCAGGGTAATTTATAAAGATAAGAGGTTTATTTGGCTCACAGTTCTGCTGGGTGAAGCTTCAGGCCGCTTCCACTCATGGCAGAAGGCAAAGTGGAGCTGGCATGTATCCATGGTGAGAGAGGAAGCAAGAGACAGTGTCTGGGAGAAGTGCCAGGCTCTTTTGAACAACCAGCTCTCATGGGACTAATAGAGTGAAAATTCACTCATTACCATGAGGACAGCACCAAGCCATGAGGGATCTGCTCCCAATAACCCAAACACCTCTCATAAACCCCACCTCCAACATTGAGGATCAGATTTCAACACGAGGCTTGGGTGATAAACATCCAAACTGTAGGCATAGGTCTTTTGGAATAATGATTGTGCTATTATCTCTTTAGCTAAACAATTTTGTTTGAAATTTGTTAACATTTTAGAACTTAAAAATGGAAATAATAGTAATTTTAGGGAAAAATCTAACTTCCCTCTTCAAAAGTGTGATTGTTTTTTTTTCCACATTGTCCCTTCACCTCTGAGTGTAGGGACAAGCAAGCAAGTGTACTGAGCCTGCTTGCTTCCTCCCAAGTTTCTCTCTCCTCGGTGTTATGGAGGAATAACCCAAAGCAGGTAATTTCTGACATCAAGTCTTTGTCTTTATAATCTTTACTGGTTTAGAAATTTGAGGTTTACAGATAATGTTCAGTAACATTGAACACTTTTCGTAGAAGTTTAAGTGAATAAAGGCATTCCTGGCTTAGGGCTCTTAAAACAACGTTAGGTTTATTAAATAACTGAATTTTCTTATTTCTCTAGGTAGCAGAGGGAAAACAAGAAGAAATCCAACAGAAAGGACAGGCTGAGAAAAAAGAATTACAACATAAAATAGATGAAATGGAAGAAAAAGAACAGGAGCTCCAGGCAAAAATAGAAGCTTTGCAAGCTGATAATGATTTCACCAATGAAAGGCTAACAGCTTTACAAGGTAAGTTAGCTAATCCAGAAATTTATTTTATTTTATTTTTTCTTTTTATCTGTGAAATATCTTTTTTTTTTTGGACTTTTATTTACAGTACGGTTAGAACATCTTCAGGAGAAAACTCTTAAAGAATACAGCAGCTTAGGTAGGTGTTATCCAAATTTCTTTTTTAAAACTGAATTTTATCCTTAAACTTTTGACCTTGTTTACTGTCTCACACTGAATATTTTAAGGCGTGTTTTACATATTAGGTATAAAGTATCTGTACTCTTTTAGAAAATTTTCTTTAAAAATATGCTTGATTGCCACCAGTGGGCATCATTGTTTTCCTTGAGATGAGTGAACTTTCTGCATCTGAGATGTTCTACTTAGAGATATTTAAATAAGAAAAGTGTATGAACAGCAGTATCCTTTTTCTTTTAAGGTTCTTTGGAAGGCCACTAAGCAGTTATAGCCTTTTCCCAGAATTAATAGAAAATGGCAAATTGAATCCTTCTAGTAAAAATAAACTTAAAGTGTTCTCTACAGTCTTAATCTTAGAAATACAGAAAGCCATGGTTACACTTGAGACCACATTTAAAGTAATACTTTCTTTGATCGGGCAATGATATACTGTCTTAATCCTAGGGATACAAGTTGATGACTTCTTACCTAAAATAAATGGGAGCACAGAAAAAGGTAGTGTAAAAAACTTAAATATTTTTCTTTTATGATATCATTTTAGTAGTTAAGCAGTATAAATTGTTCAGGGTTTAAAGTGTTTGGAAAAGCATGCTTTCACAGATCATTGAACCCCATCATTTAAAAATCAAGCTTTCGGCTGGGCATGGTGGCTCACGCCTGTAATCCAAGCACTTTGGAGGTCAAGGCGGGCGGATCACCTGAGGTCGGGAGTTCAAGACCAGCCTGACCAACATGGTGACACCCCTTCTTAAAAATAAATAAATAAATAAATAAAAATCAAGCTTTCCTAGCTCTTTTTCCCCCACTCTGGTTTTCAAAGAGCTGTGCTACTATTCTGTTTCATCAAGTTCTGCTTCCAGTGATACTTGACCCCCATTTAAAACATTCAAGTTTATTTAACAGCTTATTCAGCCCTTGGACGTGTCATAGAAACTGCTTTCTTTTTATTTTCCACTTTTTTTAATTTTTAATTTTCCCTACCCAAATCTCACTTTGAAAGAAACTGCTTTATCCATTTGTTTCACTGATCAGAGAGAACAGAGTCAGTTTTTTCTGCCACCAGAAAAATCTTTTATTAGTTGTTGCTTCTGTGACCCTTTGTTCAAGACAGCATGGGTTCTCTCTTGCCAAAAACATATAGCCATTGGTTTTCCTGTCACTACATGGGGTACTTTTTACCCAGTGACCTCTATTGTCCTTCAGTCTTGAAGATCCCTAGTCATCCTCCTCCTCTCCCCTTCCATCCAACATTAATTGAGCACTGTGTGCCAGACCCTGCACTAGGTGCTTGGAGTACAGTAGAAATAAAAGTCTTTTCTGTGTTTACCAATCTGCGTGCCTATCATCTCAGTTTTCTACAGAAATTAATAGTAGATATCAGAGCTGATACTCAGAACTTGAATATTTTTTCCTTAGCCAGGCATTGTGCCATGTGCTTATAGTCCCAACTACCTGGGAGGCTGAGGTAGGAGGGTTAACTGAGCCCAGGAAGTTGAGGCTGCAGTGAGCTGTAATTGTGCCACTGCACTCCAGCCTGGGTGACAGAGTGAGACCCTGTCTGAAAGAATGAGGGAGAGAGAGAGAGAAATATTTTTTCCATGTATCAGGGGATATCATAAGTCTTTGGGCAACAATCAAACTGATAAAGTTAGGAGGTGGGTTTTTTGGTTCTGTTTTGTTTGGTTCGTTTTTTATCAAGAACTGGCAGTATAGACTCAGGTAATCGTGTATATGTTAGCTGCAAGGTCAACACCTCATATTGCATATATAATGAATTTTGAAACTCTTAAGAAAAATGTTCATTAATCATTGGTGTTTGACTATTCTATGTATGTTGTGTAAAATGCATTGACTTTTTAAAATTCCAATTTGATGGAATTTCAATTTGAGATTTTTTAAAGGTGTAGTTTATATTCATTGGGATCAAGCAGATTGCTTGACCTCAGGAGTTCCAGAAGAGTCTGGGCATCATGGCAAAACATTGTCTCTACAAGAAATACAAAAATAGCCATGCATGGTGGCACAAGCCTGTAATCCCAGCTACTCAGGAAGCTGAGATGGGAGGATCACTTGAGCCCAGGAGGATGAGGCTGCCGTGAGCTGAAATCACGTCACTGCACCCCTGCCTGAGTGATGGGAGTAAGACCGTGTCTCAAAAAAAAAAAAAAATTTATGCCAGGTGCAGTGGCTCACGCACGCCTATAATCCCAGCACTTTTCGAGGCTGAGGCGGGTGGATCACTTGAGGTCAGGAGTTTGAGACCACCAAGGTCTGGACAACTTGTTGAAACCTGTCTCTACAAAACACACAAAAATTAGCCAGGCATGGTGGCGCACACCTGTAATCCCAGCTACCCAGGAGGCTGAGGAAGGAGAATTGCTAGAACCTGGGAGGCAGAGGTTGCAATCAGTGGGCCCAGATGATGCCACCGTACTCCAACTTGAGCAACAGAGTGAAACTCTGTCTCAGGAAAAAAAAAAAAAATCAATTGGTTATCACCCTCTTGATTTTATATTTATTAATAATGTTAGTATTAACCCAGGCTGAGAACCTTCTATTCATTCCTTCAGTTAAGAGAATCCTTTTATGTACATGGAACCATCTTTATATTGTTTAGAGTTGTGAAATTATTGCTTCAATTTTTTTGCAGTTCCAATTGATTTAGATGAGAATAATAATAGACTGTTTACATATTGCATTAATATAATTATTAAAAGTCTCCTTGATTTTAAGAATAAATATTTCAGATATTTAAAGGTAACTCCTTGATATAATTATTTTTCCCTTATTTGTGTGCTTGCTTTTTGGTAGTGATATATTGAGTGGTATGATAGTGACTAATAGAATATTTTAAAAGAAACTAAGTAATAAATTTCTGGAAATACACCAAAACTTAGTTAAAAATGGACTTTGGAATAAGATAGGTCATGTAATTCCATTCTGAATCACTTGTAATATAATAATGAACAAATTAGCAAGTATCTCAATATTACCAGTGTCCATACCCGTATTATATAATTTTAACTAAATTACTATTTAAATAGTAGAGAGAGGGTCAACTATAGTTGTGAGAATATTTTTAAATATCTGAAGATGTTAAAATTAATAATACTTTTAGTGAATCACATTTTTAAAATTACTTAAATATAATGTAGCTACTAAAAGCCCAGGTTTTGTACTATAAATTTTTTGTATGTCTTAATCTAATAAGCATAATTTGAATATACCTTAGAGAGTAAAGGGCAGTGCTGTCTGAAATAAACATAAGGCTGGGTGTGATGGCTCACACCTATAATCCTAGCCCTTTGGGAGACCAAGGCAGAAGGATTGCTTTTGTCTAGGAGTTCAACACCAGCCTGAGCAACATAGTGAGACCTCATCTCTATTAAAAAAAAAAAATTAGCCTGGCATAGTAGTGTGCGCCTGTAGTCCCAGCTCCTCAGGAGGCTAGCTGGGAGAATCACTTGAGCCCAGGAGGTCAAGGCTGCAATGAGTCATGGTCACACCACCGCACTCAGCCTAGGTGACACAGTGAGACCCTGTCTCAAAAAAATAAAAAATAAATATAATGAGATCTACATACATAATTTAAAATTATCTTCTGGGCAAAGTAGCTTGTTCCTATAATCCCAGTGAGGGAGGATTTTTGTGCCCAGAAACTCGAAACCAACCTGGGCAATATGGTGAGACACCATACGTAAAAAGAAAAAAATTAAAAAAAAAAATTAGTGAGGTGTGGTGGCGTGTACCTACAATCCTAGCACTTTGGGAGGCTCAGAAGGGAAGACTGCTTGAGGCCATGAGTTTGAGACCAGCCTGGGCAGCATAGTGACGCCTGTGTCTCTACACACAATTTAAAAATGGTGGTACACATCTGTAGTCCTAGATACTTGGGAGGCTGAGGAGGGAGGATCCCTTGAGTCCAGGAATTCAGTTTTTAATACGTGTGTGTGTGTGTGTGTGTGTACACCATAATTGGTATATATATATATACATATATATATATACACACACACACACACAAAGGGGAATTCATTAAGTATTAACTCATTACAGGGGAGTTCATTAAGTATTAACTTACATAATCACGAGGTCCCACATAGGCCATCTGCAGGCTGAGGAGCAAGGAAAGCCAGCCAAAGTTCCAAAACTGAAGAACTTGGCATCTAGTATTCGAGGACAGGAAGCATCCAGCATAGGAGAAAGATGTAGGCTGAGAGGTAGGCCAGTCTCTCTTTTAACATTTTTCTGCCTGCTTATATTCTAGCCATACTGGCAGCTAATTAGATCGTCTTTACCCAGATTAAGGGTGGGTCTGCCTTTCCCAGCCCACTGGCTCAAATGTTAAATCTCCTTTGACAACACCCTCACAGACACACCCAGGATTAAGGCTTTGTATCCTTCAGTTCATTCAAGTTGACACTCAATATTAACCATCACATATATTAAAAATATACAAAGCTGGGTGCAGTGGTACATGCCTGTTGTCCTAGTTACTTGGGAGGCTAAGGTGGGAGGATCCCTTGAGGCAAGGAATTTGAGGCTGTAGCGCACCATGGTCACATCTGTGAATAACTACTGTACTTGATCCTAGACAACATAGCAAGATCCCATCTCTATAATATATATATAAACAAATAAAACAAATTCTATGGTATATTTTGTCTACAGTATCCAAAATATTATATAAATATTAATATATATTAAAATTATTAATAGATTATTGAAATATTTTTTTCTTACTAAGTCATTTAAATCATTGTACATTTGTTTTATATTTAGGACATCTCAGAACTAGCCACATTTGAAGGGTTCAGTAACTATAGTAGCTAATGGCTATAGTATTGGACAGCACAGGTATATAAATAAAAATCCATAGGAAACTCATATATATAAATAAAATGTATTTTAAGTAGAATGGTTCTCTATCTTTTTATATTAATCTTGGGTTTCATTTAAACCAGTTTAGTAAATATTTTAATATAGAGTTCAGATGAAAGTGTGATTATTAGCTTTGTAAGTAATGTTGGGCTGTCCCTCTTTAATAAATATCATCTTAAGTCCTTTGATGTTGTTCTGAATTATGTTTCAAATATGTTTTTTAAAGTCCTTTGGTTAAAATTTGGTTCCAGATGAGTTTATTCATCTAATATGATGATATAGTTTGAGTTTTGAAAGTGTTACCATGGCTAAAATAGGATTATGAAAAACAACTTTTTATTGAGCAGTTACTATTCTACTGAGGGCTCCTGTTTTGCTTTTCCTAGTTCCAGTTATCAAATTTTTATTTATTAGATTTCTGATTTATTTCAAATTTCTGTTGCAGTTAGTATTTTTGTCTTTTTGAGACTATATTGTATTTCTGTATAGTATTATAGATATGTGATGCATTGATTTCTCCAAAACACAAGTTTTATCAACCCTTTTCCCTCATGTTTTTGTCTTATACTGATGGTGATGTGATGATAGACAGGAGGCTCTGCTCACCGTGTAACTACATAAAGCATAATGATAGATTTTAGTATAGAATTAAAGAAGATAACTAACAGAAAGGATGTAACGAGATGTGAGGTGTGATCAGAGTAGGTGGTGTCTGCCTCTCATGCAAAGTTGAGATGATTGAGGAGTAACATGGCTTGAGCTGGAGGAGAAGGGAAGGAGGCTTTTATAGGGAGAGTGGTGCCAACTCATGTCCCCTTTGAAAGATTCTGGTGCTTTCACACTTTCCAGGTAGTCATCATGTCAGAATATGTTTTTAACACTTTAACTTCCAAAATCGATTTGGTAGTTTTGAAAGATATAAATACATGTTGATCACTTCTCAGCCTTTTGGCTAAGATCAAGTATAAATACATGTCGAAGGACATTATCCAGATTCAGAAGTAACTGTTTACATCACAACAAATAAAGATTATTATAAGAAAAGGGCTGAAACTTTTATTTAACTACTGTGTTAGATTTTTATTTTCTCCATCCAATTTTTTAAATGAAAAATAAATTCTGTTTGACTTGAGCAAGACCATTTACCAAGCTCTTATTTTGAAATGGATAGATACTGATTTTGATTATTCAGGCAGAGATAAACAAATTAATGTTTTAATACTGTATGAGGTATAGATTAAGGTGACTCATAAGGGAAGATTGTGAAATAAATATGTAAAACTTAAAATATTACATCAGTTTCTTAAAATTTTTATGGTATTATGATATTCTTAAAGTATTTACCTTTTGCCTCTTAACCGTGAATAGCTTTGAAGAGGGAGTGTTATAGAACAATCACTTGAAAATTAATTTAATAATGACAAATAAAATTAAATTATTTAAGGGTATTTTTTGAACTCTAATGGACAAAAGTGGAAGAAGCATTAAAGTGGAACCATTTAAAGCAATATATTTGTGTGATTTTCTTGAGCTCTTTGGATTAAAAACTGCACCTTTAAAAGCTAACCATTCAGTGTAAAAATGAATAATAATTTTAAGTCATTTGACTCCAAAATATGTCTGCTTTTAGTAACAAAATATATTGAGCCTTTATTAGTCTAGTAGTACCCATGTTTATACATATCAGTTTTCCTACCTTTGCTGTTGGTTTTCAAAGACAGCAACAAACTGTATCCTTAAAGGTGTTTCTTTCTTTATTAGAGCACTTGCTTTCAAAGAGTGGCGGGGACTGCACTTTTATTCATCAATTCATAGAATGCCAGAGTGAGTACAGAGTATTTTTCACATTGATTTTGATGAAGTTAGGGGCTAAAACTGAAAAGTGAGAGGTAAAATGAGGATTTCAATGTGTTTGTTATAGCAGAAATACTTAAAAGGCCATCTTCAGACAGCAGCAAACCTTTTCATACTGTTTATGTTTCTCTCTTTTGAGAAAAATATTTCTGTTGGATTTGCCTTCACAGAGCTGAGCATTTCATATTAGCTACCATAAAAAGGGGAGAAACTTTCAAGCTTGTTAATTTTCAGATTCCTTAATAAATTTCTTAAGAGTAAATGAAACCACAAAAATAATTATTTAGTTTGGGCGTTCCATTCTGAAGATGGCCCTCAGAATAGCAGGAGCTTTCTCGAGAGGTAGTAGCATTCGATTGTCCTACAATCTAACCTCAACTACAAAGCCTTGGGAAATTTTACAAGGCTATCATTAAGAATATTTTAAAGAAGCCAGGTGTGGTGGCTCAAGCCTGTAATACCAGCAGTTTGGGAGGCCAAGCCAGGTGGATTACTGGAGGTCAGGAGTATGAGACCAGCCTGGCCAACATGGTGAAACCCGTTTTTACTAAAAATACAAAAATTACCCAGGCATGGTGGCGCACGCCTATAATCCCAGCTGCATGGGAGGCTGAGGCAGGAGAATCACTTGAACCTAGTAGGCAGAGATTGCAGTGAGCTGAGATCACACCACTGTACTCCTGTCTGGGCAATAGAGCAAGACTCTGTCTCAAAATAAATAACTAACTAAATAAATAAAATATTTTAAAGATAGAGTGGCTTGGCTGGGCACAGTGGTTCATGCCTATAATCCTAGCACTTTTGGAGGCCAAGGCAGGTGGATCACCTGAGGTCAGGAGTTTGAGACCAGCCTGGCCAACATGGTGAAACCCCATCTCTACCAAAAATATAAAAATTCGCCGGACATGGTGGCAAGCGGCTGTAATCCCAGCTACTTGGGAGGCTGAGGTAGGAGAATTGCTTGAACTCAGGAGGCAGAGGTTGCAGGAAGCTGAGATCACATCACTGCACCCCAGCCTGGGGTGACAATAGCAAGACTCTGTCTCAAAAAAAAGGAAAGCCGTGGTGGCGGTTGCTCATGCCTATAATCCCAGCACTTTGGGAACCTAAGGTGGGTGGATCACTTGAGGTCAGGTCAGGAGTTCAAGACCAGCCTGACCAACATGATTAAACCCCATCTCTACTAAAAATACAAACAATTAGCTGGGAATGGTGATGGGTACCTGTAATCCCAGCTACTCAGGAGGCTGAGGCAGGAGAATCACTTGAACCCAGGAGGCAGAGGTTGCAGTGAGCCAAGATTGTGCCATTCCAGCCTGGGCAACAAGAGTGAAACTCCATCTCAAAAAAAAAAGATACATTGGCTTTTGAAGTGATTTATACCTCTGCTGAATTCTGAAGAAAATATAATGAATTCCTTTTTACTTGAAAGTCACAAAAGCTGCTTAAATCTATAACAATTGTGAGGTTATCATATTCTCTTGGTTTTATTAAGTAAAGGTCATCTTGTGTAGTAAAGATTTGTTAATAATGTCTGTGCTTTTTCCTATCAAGCAAACACTTTCTCAAGCATTCTTATTTTGCCCTCCCTTTAGTTGAAATATAGGTCCCAAGTTTTTATGCTCATAATTTCATTTTGTAGATATTCATGCATATGTGCTCCCTGCCACCCTGCCCCACTACCTCAGCATCACTTGGGGATTGTAAGGATCATACCTCCTAATTACAACAGACACAAAGTCAACACATCAAATGTTATATTCCTTAGAGCTCCTTCAAGGAAACTGAGAATTTCATTTAATGTTTTTTGCTGAGCTTCTGTTTTAGCAGTTTTTGATACTACAGTATTAAGTTTAATATTATTTTGAGGCAATTTATTTAATGTGTCGTATTTCTTTGTCCTTTTAAAACAATATTTATAAAGCAAAGATTAGTACATCTTTTTGTTACCTTCTAATTACTAAATCTCATTGTTATGGGAAATTGGCACTGGGATCTGGGGCAAAATAATTGGTGTCCACTGATAATCAACTAAAAGAATATATAATCTAAAATGCAAATCTTTAGGCCAGGTGCTGTGGCTCACATCTATAATCCAACACTTTGATGGGCCCAGGCAGGAGGATCCCTTGAAGCCAGGAGATTGAGACGAGCTTGGGCAAAATAGTGAGACCCCATCTCTACAAAAAAAACTTTAAAAAGTTATCCAGGAGGGGCTGAATGCTGTGGCTCATGCCTGTAATCCCAGCACTTTAGGAAGCTGAGGCAGGCTGATCACTTGAGTCAGGAGTTGGAGACCAACATGGAGAAACCCCGTTTCTACTAAAAATACAGAAAATTAGCTAGGCGTGGTAATGCACGTCTGTAGTCCCAGCTACTCAGGAGGCTGAGGCAGGAGAATCACTTGAACCCAGGAGATGGAGGTTGCAGTGAGCCGAGATTGCGCCACTGCACTCCAGCCTGGGTGACAGAGCAAGACTCTGTCTCAACAACAACAGCAAAATTATGCAGGAGTGATGGCACATGTATGTAGTCCTAGCTACTCAAAAAGCTGAGGTGGGAGGACCCCTTGAGCCCAGGAGCTCAGTGCTGCGGTGAGCTATGGTCATGCTACTGCACTATAACCTAGGCAACAGAGCAAGTCTCTGTCTGTCTCTAAAAAAGTAAAATACAAATCTTGGCCAGGCGCTGTGGCACATGCCTGTAATCCCAGCACTTTGGGAGGCTAAGGTGGGTGGATCACAAGGTCAAGAGATCAAGACCATCCTGGCCAACATGGTGAAAGCTTGTCTCTACTAAAAATACAAAAATTAGCTGCAGGTGATGGCACGCGTCTGTAACCCAGCTACTCGGGAGACTGAGGCAGGAGAATCGCTTGAACCCGGGAGATGGAAGTTGCAGTGAGCCAAGATTGTGCCACTGCACTCCAGCCTGGTGACAGAGCGAGACTCCATCTCAAAAAAAAAAAAAAAAAAATACACATCTTTAGAAGAAAGATTTTTATTTTGAATTTCTAAGGTTTATATTTTGAATCCTAAGAAATGAGAGTAAGTAATTATCAAAAGAATGTTTACTTGGTTATAATTTGCAAAAATCCTTGTTTTATTTTGTTATTATTCCTGGCTTACTTAAAACTTTTTGCCAGTAGTCCCAGCTACTCAAGAGGCTGAGGTGGGAAGATCACTCAAGCCTAAGGCATAGTGAGACTCTATCTCTTTGTAAAAAAAAAAAAAAAAGCTGGGCAAGGTGACTCACCCCTATAATCCCAGCACTTTAGGAGGCTGAGTCAGGTGGATCACTTGAGGACAGGAGTTCAAGGTGAGCCTGACCAACACTGTGAAACCCCATCTCTACTAAAAATATAAAATACAACATCCCAGCACTTTGGAAAGCCCAGGCAGGTGGATCACAAGGTAAGGAGATGGAGACCATCCTGGCCAAAATGGCGAAACGCCATTCTTACAAAAAATTAGCCGGGCATGGTGGTGTGTGCTTGTAGTCCAAGCTGTTTGGGAGGCTGAGGCAGGCAAATTGCTTGAACCCGGGTGGCAGAGGTTGCAGTGAGCCAGGATCACACCACTGCATTCCAGCTGGGCTACAGAACAAGACTCTGTCTCAAACAAAACAAAACAAAAAAACAAAATTAGGCTGGGTGTGGTGGCTCACCCTTGTAATCCCAGCACTTTGGGAGGCTGAGGCAGGTGGATCACAAGGTCAGGAGTTCAAGACCAGCCTGGCCAAGATGGTAAAACTCTGCCTCTACTAAAAATACAAAAAATTATCCAGGCATGGTGGCAGGCACCTCTACTCCGAGCTACTCGGGAGGCTGAGGCAGGAGAATTGCTTGAACCTGGGAGGTGGAGGTGGCAGCGAGCCAAGATGGCACCACTGCACTCCAGCCTGAGCAACAGAGCGAGACTCTGTCTCAAAAACAAAAAAAAAGGGGATGATACTATTTAGGTAGATTAAGATGAAGGTGAGAGAAGCCAGGCATGGTCACTCATGCTTGTAATCCCAGCACTTTGGGAAGCCGAGGCAGGGGGATTGCTTGAGTTCAAGACCAGCCTAGGCAACAGAAAGAGACCCTATCTTAAAAAAAAATTAGCTGGGCATGGTGGTGGGCACCTGTAGTCTCAGCTACTCAGGAGGCTAAGGCAGGAGAATCACTTGAACCTAGGAGATAGGAGTTGCAATGAGCCAAGATCATGCCATTGCGCTCCAGCCTGGGCAACAAGAGTGAAAGTGTCTCAATTCAAAACAAAACAAAAAAAGAAAGAAAGAAAACCTTTTTACTTTTTAATGTCTATTTTATTATTGAACATTTCACTTAAAATAGTATAAAATACTTAGCTGCGTTTATAACACAGAATAAAGTTTGCTTTAAATATATAAAAGCTGTTTTAAGAGTTTTGTTGAATCAAAGTTATGGAGGAAAATGGACCAAATAAACATGCAGAAATAGCACAGAATTTATACAAATTACACCAAATCCCTTCTATGGGAATGTTAGGCAGCTAATAAAATGATGTTTATGAAGACTATATAATAGCATGGGAAAATACTAAACAGGTAGTATGTACATAAAGGAAAAAAATCAAAATATAAAATTCCATTTTTGTCCACCCTTTTGTGGACCAAAGAACAGGAAAAAAGCCAGGTGTAGTGGCTCATGCCTGTAATCTCAGCACTTTTGGAGGCCAAGGTGGGAGGATTGCTTGAGCCCAGGAGTTTGCAACCAGCCTGGGCAACATAGTGACACCTCATCTATACAAAAAAATTAGTTGTCCATGATGATGACACGCTTGTGTCACAGCTACTCAGGAGTCTGAAGCAGGAGGATTGCTTGAATTCATGAGGTCAAGGCAGCAATAAACCATGATCATACCATTGCACTCCAGCCTGGGCTGCAGACCAAGAACCTGTCTCAAAACAACAACAACAGAAAATAAGTATTCCCAGACATCTGAATC